CGAGCGGACAGCACGAACGCAACGAGCACAAGGGACGCAGGAGCAACAGTCACAGCCGAGGCAACAGTCGCAGACGACGCCACGACAGGCACCAGCGACAACCCCGGTGATGGCTTCAATGGCGCCCCCGATGCATGCAGCAGCAACAGTCTCAACAACTGTTAAAATAAAACCGACGAACCCGCCCCCGTTCAACCCCAGCGACAAAGCCGTCACTGTGTCAGCTTGGTTGTTCGGTGTAGAGGTGTTTTTCAATGCTGCGCAAATTGCTGACGATGCTACCCGCATTAATTTTGCAGTGTCACTATTGCGAGGACCGGCGTTGGAATGGTGGAAGCGGACTCTTCAGCCAGAGGGGGCTCCGGCAGGGATATCACGTGCGAACGACGGGACCTGGGCAGCTGTCACGCAACAGGCAACTTCAATCTTCGGAGTGGCCACGATACGCACATGGACGGAGTGGGGCGCCGCGCTGCAAAGCAGATTCGAGCATGTATCCGCCTCGGATTCTGCTCGCATGAAGCTGCGTACCTGGAAGCAGGTGGCGTCGGTCCAAGATTACACGGCGACATTCTGCAATTTGGCTGACCAAGTGGACGATATGAGCGACGCGGAACGACTCGACCGATACGTCGCAGGCCTCAAGTACGACGTACAGTACGAGGTGCGACGGGCGAGGCCACGCGTATTTATCGAAGCCGTCCAAGTGGCCGAATCGACGGATGCGCTGATGCAATGGGCGAGAATGAGTTCCCGGGAGGGCACTCAATTTCGTGGACCGCCGCGCCAGCCCACAATCAACGGGGTGGATGCACCGAGGCGGGGAAACAACAACTGCTTCAACAGCAACCAACCGGGCCACTGGAAGAAGGACTGCCCGAAGCTGAAACAGGGAAACAGGAACGACGGAGAGGGGTCGGGAAAAGAAACGAGTCAGTAGCAGTAGGGCCACCTACTGACGAGACCCCGTCGCCCGGCAATCAACATCCACACCGAGTAGTGGTACCGATACGGGCTATCGACCGCAACCGGACGAATAAGGTGGATGAACACGTGGATCACCCTGTGCTGGTCGTGGGGAGGGTTAACAGGCATAAAATAAAATTATTCGTCAACGGTGGGGCGAGCCACAGTCTTGTCAACCTGGCGACGGCCAAAAAAATCGGAGTCAAGCTGGACAGGTGTCTACCAGAGATTGATGTGCGATTGGTGGACGGAACACCGCTGTCGATCAAGGACGAGGTCCAACAAATTCGGATGAAGTGTGGCGACGATTTCGGGTTCTCCATGCGAATGCTGGCGACAACACTGGACGGTTGCGATGTGCTGCTCGGAAGGGATTGGCTGCAGCGTTTCAATCCGACCATCGACTGGACGACGGGAGCGATCACGGTGCTGTGCAACAAGGGGCGCGTGACACTTCCGAAATGGGCGGAGCCGGAGCCGACGACAACACGTGTCAACGCGATAACGCTGAAGAGGGCGATAAAACGGGGAGCGCAAGGCTACGCCGTACAGCTGTACGAGGTGGTGGCTTCCGAAAAAATCGCCGACATCGACACGCTCTGCGCTGCTGTACCCGACGACGTGGCGAGCATAATTCGGAGGTACCCCGAAATATTCGCATATGACCTACTTGATGGGCTGCCACCTCAGTGTCCGGAAGACCACATGATTGAGCTGGAACCAGGCGCGAAACCAACCGTTCGGTCCCAATGGCGGCTCAGCCAACCGGAGCTCGACGAATTGCAGAAACAGCTGGATTATCTGCTTTCTAAGGGTTTTATCCGGCCGAGCACGTCGCCGTACGCCGCCCCGATACTATTCACACCGAAGAAGGACGGAGGCCTGCGCATGTGCATCGACTATCGAGCGTTGAATCGGGTCACAATCAAGTCGCGTTACCCGATCCCACGAGCAGACGACCTGCTGGATCAACTTCGCGGGGCTCGTTTCTTCTCGAAAATCGATTTGCGAGGTGCCTACCATCAAATTCGTGTGTTCGCCGACGACTGCCCGAAGACCGCATTTCGCACCCGCTACGGCAGTTATGAGTACACCGTGATGCCGTTCGGGCTGACGAACGCACCCTCGACTTTCCAGCTCACTATGAATGGAGTGTTTCGGGACATGTTGGATAAAAAAGTTATTGTTTACCGGGACGACATCCTGGTGTACAGCAAGACTCGGGAGCAGCATTTACAGGACTTAGACGAAGTGTTCCGACGCTTGCAGCAGAACCGGCTGATTACGAAGGGCTCTAAGTGCGAGTTCTTACGGTCGGAGCTGGAGTTTCTGGGGCACGTTGTCTCTGGGGAAGGCATTAAAATCGACCCTCAAAAAGTAAAAGCGATTTTGGAGTGGAAGCCGCACACGAACATCACTGAGTTGCAGAGTTTCCTCGGCTTCGTTAACTACGTCCGCCGTTTTGTACCCAATATGGCGGGGGTAACCAGGCCGTTAACCGATCTCCTGCATAAGGGCGTGCAGGTTTTTTGGGGGGAGAGAGAGCAGCTGGCTTTCAACGAGCTGAAGAAAATTTTGAGTTCACCCCCGGTGCTTCGACTGGCAGATCCATCTCGACCGTTCGAAGTCGTGACGGACGCCAGCGATTTCGCTGTCGGCGCTGTGCTATTACAGGACTTCGGCAACGGACTGCAACCCATCGCGTACGAGTCAAGAAAAATGCAGCCGCCCGAGCGCAACTACCCGGTTCACGACAAGGAAATGCTCGCCATCGTGCAGGCGTTTCGAACATGGCGATGCTACCTCACGGGAGCGGATGTCACAATCCGAACGGACCACAAGTCACTACAGTACATGCGCAGCCAACCACAGCTCAACCCACGACAAATCCGGTGGCTCGACTACCTCGAATCAAATTTCCGCTACACCATCACATATAAAAAGGGCGCCAACAACATCGCCGACGCTCTGACCCGCCCATCCATGCAGACCGCAGCAGTACTAATCGCCCATTCCAACCCTTTATTGGCAGGATTATTCAAGCACGGCTACAGGATCGACACATTTTTAAGGACCAATCAACACCGCGGGGTCACTACACCGCATGGAAGTTACTACCTAAAAGTCGGTACTAACCGAGTTTGGGTACCTTCCTACCGACTCTTACGCGAATTACTGACGCAAAAAGTACACGACTCCAACCTCTCCGGGCATTTCGGCGTCGACAAAACATTGAAGCTGCTGCAGCGGAACTACTACTGGCCCGACATGGCGTCGGACGTGCAGCGCTATGTGTCCGCCTGCCCGACCTGCCAGGCAATGAAGTCATCACGACAACGACCAGCTGGCTTACTGCAGCCCCTCGAGCCACCCGAACGACCGTGGCAACAGGTGACTATGGATTTCGTCACGGGCCTTCCAGCTGGCGCAAGTGGCAACGACTCCGTGCTCGTCGTCGTTGATCGCTTAACGAAAATGGCGCATTTCGCGCCCTGCCGTACAACGATCACAGCCGAAGAAACAGCGCGACTCTTCATCTCGACCGTCGTACGCCTCCACGGGTTACTTTCGGCGATCATCAGCGATCGAGATCCGAAATTCACGTCGAAATTCTGGCAGGAGACATGGGCACAGTACGGCACCCGCCTGCAATTTTCGTCGTCCTACCACCCGCAAACCGACGGACAGACGGAGAGGACAAACCAAACGATGGAGCAGCTGATTCGCACGAACTGCCCGGACATCACCAAGTGGGAAGATTACCTTCCCATGCTTGAGTTTGCGTACAATAACGCCCCATCTGCAACGACCAAGCAATCACCCTTCTACCTGAATTACGGGATAGACCCGGTGGTACCCTCATCGACAACTCCCGACAACCCGATACCCAGGTCACAGCAGTTTATTTCGGAACTCCAGGACGCGCGTGCCAAAGCAGCTGACTTTATCCGAAAAGCAAATTCGACCGCCAGCCGCTACGCCGACCAACACCGACGAAATTTACCCTTCCGCGAGGGGCAGATGGTTCTCCTGGACACCAAAAACCTCAGACTGCCCCAACCCGCAAAACTGCGTCCTCCATACGTGGGACCTTTCCGCATCATTCGAATGCTGACACCGGTCACTGCGAAACTTCTCCTCCCGGACGACTGGCATATCCACGACGCCTTCCACGTCAGTTTACTTCGCCACTACGTGGCACCCCAGTCCTCCGACGTCGCTCGACCCCACCAGGCGCCAAGTGTCCGACCGGTAGCAGATCCCACGCTCCAACCCTGGAAGATTTTGAATCATCGCATTCGTGCGACCCCAGCCGGCCGCCACGTCGATTTTCTACTGCGATGGGTGGATCGCACAAGTGACGACGACACGTGGGTCCCGGCTGACTCACTACAAGGGCACTCGGTACTCCGGCAGTATCTTTCTCGCCGACACGTGCCTGATATTGACCACCTTTCTTGAAGGGGGGGGTAGTGTAAGGAATTTTGCTAATTCCTTACTGAGGCACCGCTTACGCGTACATTTCCAACTTTTCGGAGTTCAGGCTCGGTCCGACGACCTCGCCTCCCGAACGTCCTCCGCGTCGCCTTCGGGTTTTCCAAACCCAGACCTACACCCAACCCTCGCACGACTTCGCGACCTCGGGCTTAGCTAGCCTTGCTATATTATGCCTAGGCCCCGATGTTTGCTCAGTAGTTGTAATCACTTCCGCGATATTGTATTCTGCGCACTCTCCTTTCATACAACTCATAACAACAACAGTTCCACTACAAAACACAGTAACATATGTTGGCCACAAATGTGCTCACCGCAATCGCCACCACAACACCAGTAACCATATGCCTGAGAGTGGACTTGCTCCTTCCCTGCAACAAAACCTAAGGAGATGAGATGGGATTATGTGGGGATGCTTATGCGCCCATCTAGTGTGGCAGAAGCTACACTTTGCAGCAAGTGTCACGAGCAAGTCAGCAAAACATGTTGTGATCTCAGTTCGGTCAGAAGAATGTGCCTTATGCCCAACAATCGTATGGTCAACCATTAATCCCATCCCCGCTAGTATTGAGCAAGTTGATTCTGAACAGATTAGTATAGCATCGCACATCCAGGCTGATCTGACGACCATTGATGGGATTCATAGCAGCGACATCAGCTCCCAGAGTAAAGGCCGTGTCGGGCTAAGGAGGCAACAGGGGGGTGGCAGAGAGCTGGTAGAGCACCGGAGGAGAAGGGCTGTTGCAGCACAACTGGGCGTGGCTGTATGGGGGCTTGCATGTGCGAGCCCCTTGGATTGGAGGGCGTGTACAGGCCATTGGTGGTGCCAGGGGCCATTGAAAGTTGACCAGGCACTGTCAGCCAAGGCGTTGGTGGCAGTGGCTGTAGCTGTGGCTGTGGCTGTAACTGTGGCTGTGGCTGGTGCGGTGGCATCGAGATAACGCGCTCAAGCTCTACATGCCGACAATCATTCCACTGTGCAAGCGTAGCCACGTTGGTGAGAAACTGCTGCTGCCTGTGTAGCTGACGACCTTCCTCCCCGGTCACTCCCTGCTCCACCGCCCACTCTGACACGGCTGTCCCGGCAGCACAAGGGGGTGCAGGCCCCTGAGATTGAGGCCCACTGGGCAAGGGCATGGTGAGGGCACTCCCACTCAGCAGCACATGAACAACAGGCGTGTTGAGAAAGAGAGCACCCATGTCCCTGTCACTGTGGTTGTCAATGCCCCCGTTGTCAGCGCCGTTGCTGTTGTTGTCAGAGCCGTTGCTGTTGTTGTCCGTGTTGCTTCCGTTCCAGAGCGCGTCAATGCATGCATCAACGTATTCCTGCTCCTCTGTGCCACACGTACTCCCCGCAAGCACCGCTGAAATGCAGCTGCTCGTGCTGCCGGGAGCGGAGGCACAAAGAGCAGCGGGTGCGCGTGGCTGCGTGGGCGGAGGAGCAGAGAGAGCAGCAAGTTGTGCGGAGGCAGGGCCCTCGCAGCATAGTCCCAGCAGCACGTCGTCTGGAAGGGCACTCTCCGATCCAACGCGCGGCCACTCCACCTGCTGCAGTGTGGAACCATCCCCAATGCAGGGAGCGGAGCCAGACAGAGCAGCGAGTTTGGGGAGCATTGCTGTTGGCAACGGTGCGAGTGGCTGGGTTGGCAGAGGAGCAGAGAAAGCGGTGCCTTGCATGAAAGCAGGGTCCTCACAGCAGAGTCCCAGCAGCACTTCGTCTGGAAGGGCACTCTCCGACCCAACGGGGGGCCAGTCCACCCGCTGCATTGCGAAATCCTCAATGCAGGGAGCGGAATCCCCACACCAGGCAGTGGAATCACCATTGCGGGGAGTGGAGCCAGGCAGAGCAAAGAGTTGGGAGGGCGGAGAAACAGATAGAGCGGCGCGTTGCGTGAAGGCAGGGGCCCCATTGTTAGATTTCAGCAGCACGTCGTCTGGAAGGGCACTTTCCGACCCAACACGCGGCCACAGCACCCGCTGCGCCCTGCTGCCCACTCCCCCCTGCCGCTGCTGGCGATGCTCCTCCTGCAGCAGAGCCTCCAGAAGGGCTGCTTCCTCTGTCTCCTGCACGAGGCTGCTCGCTCCCTGCTGCTGCACGCGGCTGCTCGCCCCCTGCTGCTGGAACTGCTCTGCCACTGACTGACGCCGGCGCTCCGTGCCACACGCCACCCCCCCTCGCACCACCCAGCTCCCGTTTCCCCAAAGCACCGGTTGGTCTGCCGTCAGGCCAGGGCAGTCGCCCCGTGGTCGCTTCGCTGGGCGACGCAAAGCAGCGGCGGTGGAGGCAGCAGCAACGGGGACGACATCACGGGCGAATGGGCACTCCGAGGTAGACGCGACAGCCGCAGGGAAGGGGGCAGCTTGGGAAGCAGGAGGAGGAGCTTGGGAAGCAGGAGGAGGAGCTTGGGAAGCAGGAGGAGGAGCAAGGGGAGGGGTGGCGACGAGGGATGAGAGGTTGGGCGGGGCGGGAGGGAGGCAACAGCGAGCATGGGGGGCGAAGAACGCCATCACGCACTCATACGACAGCCCTCCGAACGCCAGGGCTGCTGCTCCCACGCCCTCCGAATGCTCCGACTGCTGCTGCTTGAGATCCTGACAGAGCAATGCCTGGCTGTGGCCATCCAATGGAATATGCTGCAGGAGTGCAGCAGCTCCCAGGTGCTTTCGCAGGAAGTTCTGGCGAAAGCGGTCTGTGAACTTCCTGCCATCAGCACACGGCCACGGGAGAGAAGAAGCGTTATGGAAGGCTGAGGCGTGTTAGAAATGCTCACGGGTATCACGACGCCTGGATTCAGAAAATCACAAATGTGGCATGAAGCATGGGTTACCTTCGGAGGAAGATGTAACGGTTACAGCACGACTTGTTGTTCCTCTTGAGCTGACCGCTCCTCTCCAGCTCGCCCCACTGCTTCGTGCCGCACTGCAGCGCGTGGCGCAGCAGCACCGCGTCCTCCTGCCCACTCAGTGTGGAACGGAGGGAAAGACAGAGTGAGTGCGGCATTCCCATGATGAGCGGCATTGGGGTGTGAATGCTGACATAACAGGGGAAATGCAAAAGTGAATTCTGAATCCCATTCCAAGCCTAGAATCCGGCGGATCTTGAAATCCTCCGGACGCACCCCTCGCCGCGACCACCTCTGGCGACCCACCCACCTCTGGCGACCCACCTCTGGCGACCATGGCTGCATGCCGGGCGAGGAAGATTGAGATTGCGAGGCCGGCGAGTCAACGGCTTCAGAGGAATGCGGCATAACGGCTATAACGCCTCGCTGAGCCAAAACGAGGTTGCTCTTTAGGCGCAGCGGATGCCCTTAACACTAGCCCAGCCCACAGCGCAACGGTTGCAATAGCGGTCGAGCTGCTCGTGATAGCGGTGGTAGTAGTGCTGGTTTTCAGACAAGAGACTCAAAGTCATGCTGGTAGCTCGGAGCTAACTGACGAAAGCATGACTTTGAGTCTCGCAAGACTCAATCAGGGGATGGAATGACGTCACCGACCCATGCACACAGCTTAGGCGTGATTGTGGGCAGGTGTTCAGTCCCTGGCTCTGATTCGCCACAGTGTGGCGTTCAGGCCAGGGCTCTGATTGTGCGCCTCTTGATGATGCCGCTTCGTCTCGTCTTGGCATGCGAGGGATGCTTTCTCGCCGCATTTCTTCGTCAAACGCGCGCAGTTGGTGACTCGCGTGGGAGGAGGGGGTGTGCGACGGAGTGCAGCTGGTGGAAGGTGGTGATGCGATGCGATGCGATGCGATGCGATGCGCGAGAAGGATGTCGAGGTCAAGTGTGGCCAAGTGGGCTGACGAGAAGGGGTACCGGCAATCATTGCACTCGCTTAGTTGTGGCCTGATGTCCGACATTTCCGGACGTAAACCCTCCAATAGGAGGTGGCGACCTGATATTTAATAATATAAAGCACACTAGCATCTAATGATCCTCTCGAAATCGGCCTGTCACATGCATGTGGAATGGGGGGGGGGGGGGGGGGGGGGGGGGGAGGGTCGTTGTGTGATACGAGGCACGTGAACACCGGCCAGCGGTGAAAACTGTCCAGACGTTTGCGTTTCGTTCGAAATCGGACAAACGACGCCGCTGGCTGCAGCTGCCAGCTCCTATCGGCCTCCCGGCCAGCTCGCACATCCAATCCAGGTGCACTGCACACCGGCGGAAGGGGGAGACATCGTTGCCCTGGCAGGCAACTGCTACTGAATGCCGCATCACGAGCAAGACTGAAGGAGGAGCCGATACTATCTTGGGAATTATGGCGTGCAATACAGGCAGTCAGGACGCGTCACAATTGCGACATCGATCCGTGGGAGATCGATGTTCCGAGTGTACAGTAGTTCGCCGTGTCTTGTATCCCGTTTCCGTGAAAATTCGCTAAGACCCGACACAAGTCACCGAACGCGATGTCCCTTCCAGATCGATCTGTCATGGCACTCAAATCCTACGTAGTGAATTTTAAACTTTTAAGAAGACTTCTAACCCCGCTAACTATCGACCTGAAGACAATCGCGACACATCTGGCTCAGAGGAGATCGATTCTCGCAGCTTCGGTGTGTGACCGCGATCCTCCTCGATGCCGCAATTGTGACGCGTCCTCAGGGGCTAGGTGGACGCTGCGCAGGACTCAAGTCTGCCGTTCGTCAGCCAAGTGGAGGTGTCTGCCATGCCTACCTCTTCCCGAGAATGAAGGTCACCTTTCTGGCCAATGTGAGAGTGGTGGTGGGTGCTCGCATGGGGTTTGAACAATTATTTCTCAGCGCAGCGCACCGCACTGTACTGTACACTACCATGTCAACTTGGAGCCACAAACTCTTCTCGTTCTTGCTGCGAACAGCACCAACCCTCCAACGTCTTCCCTCAACGAATACAGGAAGCACGCTGCGGAATGCCTCGGCACGCCCCGGTGCACCGGGTTTTGAAACCTGAGATGTAGGGGTGGTGTCAACTATGTTTGTACACCTTGTTTCTCGACCCTCTCACCTTGCGCGATTCGCTGCTACAGTGCGGTCAGGTGCCATAAACCGTATGGCTGAAACCTGCGGGCAAAGCCGCAACAGCTGACGGAGTGGTACTGGGGGCAAAATTTTTCTTTATCGCTGTATACCCTTTTCAACCGCTTTGAAACGCTTGGTTAATGTTCTTTACCATGCAGCATCCTAGCTAACCGCTTTCTTGTGAATGTGCTTGTACCGTCGGTGATAAGACCATTTCAAACGTGGTGACGTTCTACAACCTGTGCATGTTCTGCAACCAGATGCTCTGCTAGCGCGAAACAGGGTGTATAGATTTAGATATGCTGTAGTGGGGTGCATCTTAGGGGGTACAGAATCTCTTCTTGTACGGTACCCCCCAGGGTCCTCGCTAGGATTTGAACCCCCCTGATGCCTCAGACGGGCCCTTCGGGCCCGTCTAATGCATCAGATATTTCGCCTTTGCGTGTCTGATGCATCAGAAATTTCAAAAGAACTTGTCTGACCAAGTAAAATAGAGTTTCTAGCGTGTAGATGCACGTGGGATAACAAGGTGAGTCTGACTTTTCTGGACCTTTCTCATTCATTCGCAGTACACCCTCGTTCTCACCACATGCACAATCGCCACATGAACTGGGCGCTTGTAGTGACTGCAACATGCCAAGAATGGTGCTAGCACATACCCTGTAAGCACAATCACGACTGCCACGTTGGTAGTGCAGCTGTTGACTTCGACTGGCCAGGAAGTATACAGTGCGCTCGCATGTGTGGTTAGCTGCCGTTGCTTTTCGGTCGAACATACATTACCCCTTTCTACCGAACGTAGATATTATGTATGTGCTTTGAACCCGTGTTCGGAATTGTCTGTTTCTTGAGTGTTTTGATGTGGAATCTTTGGCCACAATGTAGGACAAAGTCAGCAGATCATTTAGAATGTTCTATTTTGGCGCTTGTTGCATGGTGTGCCTGGCAACATTAGGGGGTTCGGCCACATGCACAGTGGCGCTACCTGACAACACTGTAGTCGCTGCTCCCGATTGTGCGTAGGCCGAGAATAAGGGTGTGCAAACTGGTGTGATTCGCACTTCACTGGTCTCAGTAAAATCACCCTAACACGGCAGATTCGCCCTGTCAGAGCTCAAAATATTCGCCCAATCAGAAAAACAATTTTCTGACACGGCAGATTCGCGACGTCAGAGCGCAACGTGTTCATCCAATCATAGAAAACTCTTCCTGACACAAGAGATTCGACCTTACACAACACAGCAGATTCGCTTTGACAACAGATTTGCCCTGTCAGAGCATGTTTCTGCGGGAAATCCCCGTACTCTAACATGTTTCGATTTCAGACGAAACATATATTACATTTCTGATGAATCAGATGAAGACAAAAAATCGTTTCTACTCAATCAGATGAAAAAATAAATCATTCCTTGAAAATCAGATTAACTGGAAAAAACTCGTCTGGAAACTAAGACAAACAGACAAAAATGTCTGATGTCGAGGACCCTGGTACCCCCCCCCCTCCTTACCCTATGGAACATTCTCTTTAGTATCTCATTCACCAGAGAGATGGTAGAGCTCCAGAGGAGAAGGGCTGCAGCAGCATGACAGGGCGTGGAAGTACGGGAGCTTGCATGTGCGAGCCCCTTGGGGTTGAGTTTAGGGCGTCTACAAACCATTGGAGGCGCCGGTGCGGGACTTGAGCAGCGGTCATGCATGCTCCAAGGTTTGTGATTCAGGCAGGTGACTGTCCCTACCAGCTCAGCATCAGCACAGCACTGAGTGAATTACGGTGGCACGCGGTTGGACACTGCGAATCCGCGGGGCCTCGGGAACGACGATATAGGGAGGTGACTGTGATGCGGACATTGCGGTTGTTATTAGAAGCAATTGCCAGGTAAAAAACATACAATGTCACATTACGAAATCAGAAGGCACAAATGATACTACCAGTAGTAATAGCCTCAATTCAGCAAGTCAGTGTCAAAGAAAGAATGCTGTGCAGTCTTAGAAATACGAGCGAACATGCGTATGTGTTGGGATGAAGCCTGGAGGCATCCCATGGGGAAGAACGGCTGTATGTGAAGTCCAAGTGCTCATGGACACCATTCTTATGGTCAATCATTAACCCATCCCCGTTAGTGTCGAATCCGTTCTTCCTTGAGATTAGTCGAGTCGAGCAGCGCACACCCAAGCTGAGCCCATGACCAGCTGTGGCATTCAGGGCACGCCGTCGCCTCCTGATGTAACGGTCATGTCAGGCCATGGCGGAAGTATGGGGCTGCAGAGAGCCGGTGGAGCACCACCAGTGGGGAAGGGCTGCTGCAGCATGGCCAGGTGGGGTTGTATGGGAGAGTGCATGCGCGACCCTCTTGCGGGTGAGTGCGCATTCAATGGAGCGCGTTGATGTTGACAAGGCACAGACAGCCAAGGCGCTTGTGTCGGTAACTGTAAGAGTGGCTTTGGGAGTAGATGTGGTGGTGGCTGTGAATGCAGCTGTGGCTGGTGCGGTGGCAGGGAGAGCATGCGGTCAAGCTTGAGGTACTGACAAGGCTTCCCCTGTGCAAGCATGCCCTCCTGGCCGAGAAATTGCTGCTGCCTGTGCCCCTCAGCACCTCCTTCCCCGGTCCCTCCCTGCTCCACCGCCCACTCTGGCAGGGCTGTTCCAGCAGCACGTGGGGCAGCACGTGGGGCAGCAGGCCCCTCAGCGTGAGGTCCACTGGCCAAGGGCATGGCGAGGAGACTCCCAGCCAGCAGCGCGTGAGCCATGGGCGTGTCTAGAAAGAGCGCACCGTTGTCCTTGCCACTGTGCTTGCCACAGTTGTCAGTGTTGTTAGTGTTGGTTATGTTGCTGAGCACGTCAATGCAAGCATCCAGGTACTCTTGCTCCTGTGTGCCACACGCACTTCCAACAAGCATTGCTGTAAGGCACCCGGTCGCGCTGCCAGAAGCGGGGCCAGGCAGACCAGTGAGCGGCGAGGGCATCAGTGCTGCGAGTGGCTGGGCGGGCGCAGGAGCAGAGAGAGCAGCACGTTGCAAGGAGGCAGGGTCCTCGCAGCAGAGTCCCAGCAGCACGTCGTCTGGAAGGGCGCTCTCTGACCCAACGCGGAGCCACTCCACTGGCTGCACTGCGAAATCGCCAATGCAGGGAGCGGAGGCAGGCAGAGCAGCGAGCTGGGGCCGCATTGGCGCTGGCAGCGCTGCGAGTGGCAGGGTGGGTGGAGGAGCAGACAGAGCAGAGCGCTGGATGAAGGCAGGTTCGTCACTGTTGCACCCCAGCAGCACATCGTCTGGAAGGGCACTCTCCGACCCAACGCGCGGCCACAACACCCGCTGCGCCCTGCTCCTCGCTCCACCCTGCTGCTGCTGCCGATGCTCCTCCTGCAGCAGCGCCTCCAGCAGGGCTTCGTCAGCTGCCTGCTGCATGAGGCTGCTCGCCCCCTGCTGCTGGAACTGCTCTGCCACTGACTGATGCCCGTGCTCCGTGCCACACACCACCCCGCCTCGCAAAACTCCGCCTCGCACGAATCCCCTTGGCACGAACCAGCTCTCGGGTCCACCGAGCAGCGCTGGCTGTGCCCCCAGCGTGGGCGAGTCGTCCCTTGGACGCTTCAGCGCACGACGCCGAGCGGCAGAATTGGAGGCAGCAGCAACGGGGGAAGCTTCATGGGATACTGGAAACTCGGCAATAGAAGCAGCCGCAGTAGCACAGACGCTGGCGGCTTGGGAATGAGGAGGAGAGCTGGTCGCAGAAGAGAGGTTGAGTGAGGCTGGTTGGCGGCAGCAGCGTGCGTTGGGGGCAAAGAAGACGGCCGTGCACTCCTCATACGACAGCCCTCCGAACGCCAGGGCAGCTGAACCCGCGCCCTCCTGCTGCTGCTGCTGCTGCTGCTGCTGCTGCTGCTGCTGCTGCTGCTGCTGCTGCTGCTGGAAATCCTGACAGAACAACGGCAGACTGTTTTCGTCCAGTGAAACGTCCTGGAGGAACGCGGCGCCTCCCAGGTGATTTCTCAGGAAGCTCTCGCGAAATTGCTGAGTGAACTTCCTGCCATCAACATGCGGCCACAGAGCAGAAGCGTTAGACAAGGCTGAGGTGTGTTCGAAACGCTCACGCGTATCAAGAAACCCGAGTTCAAGAATTAATGCACGCGGCATGCGGGGTTACCTTCGGAGGAAGATGTAACGGTTACAGCACGACTTGTTGCTCCTCTTGAGCTGACCGCTCCTCCCCAGCTCGCCCCACTGCTTCGTGCCGCACAGCAGCGCGTGGCGCAGCAGCACCGTGTCCTCCTGCCGTGAGAGTGAGGGAGGGAATGACAGCGTTGCCATCATGAGCTGTGAGAGTAAAGACCGCGGTTCAAGGCACACAGAGCGTGTCCTACGCACTGGTATTCTAATCGCTCTGACATCGACAAGAAAAACGGAGGGCTTGAGAGATTCTCCTCTGAACGCTCTTTTCGCGACCCACCTCTCGCGACCATGGCTGCATTCCAAGCGGCGACGAGGGTTGCGAAACCGGCGGTGAGTCAATGTTTTCAGATGAATGCGGAATGGCGACCAAGCGGTTCTTGAAAGCGGTACCACCACGTGTTCAAAATGGTTCAGCTGGCACGAGAGTCCAGGATAATATAGCAAGAAATTAACTTGAAATTTTTTAACCGTCTCTTGAAAGGAAGGTGAGCCCAATAATCTTGCATATGTCCATCTTGGTTCAAAACCTGGCCCCACGGACAGAAAGATCTTTGCGGTTCAGTACGGTCGAGCAGCAACCGCATGCACGAGGCCTGATTCTGAGCTGGGGTTGCACTTGGCCGCCTTTGATTCTGCCGCTTACCAACAGAGCCGAGTCTTGACCGCCGCAGCAGAGAGATGCCCCTCATTGCACTTCCAGGCGCAACCAGCGAGGCTTTCGAGTCGCGCGGCATCCGAAGGTGTGCGACGGGGGGCAGCAGTGGAAGAGGTGCGAGCGAGGAGGACGCTAAGTGGGCCAGGTAACATATGAACCAAGATCATCATATGCCGCAAAGATCATCAGACGACGATTTTTGAGAAGGAGCCACCGTCATGTGACACAAGGCACATGATGACCTGCCAGCCGTGACCTTATGAACTGTCCATTTGAAACAAGAACGTTTCGACAGTTGACAGTTCGTGTAGTACAGTAGTAGTAGAAACTAGGACCTAGACGAAGCCATTGGCTGCAGCTCCCTTCCTCCAAGCTTGCACATCCAATCAGATGCACAGAAGGGGAAGACATTGTTGACCTAGCAAGCAACTGAGTTCGAATGCTGGGGCTCGAGCAAGACTGAAAACGGAACCAATCTTGCGGATTTGTTATGGGGAGGATTATATACGGTCTGTGGTGCGTTAGCGGTTTGGTAGCGGGAGGGAGGGAGGGACTAGGCAAGTGCTGCTGAGGTCAGCGGACCATACACTGGCACTGGCAGCAGCCAACTGGAGCAGTCTGCCTGCCTGCCTTTTCCTGAACATAAAGGTCGGCTTCCTGCCAAACCCTTGAGCGTACTCGCTTTGGGCGGATGCGGTACAATGAGTGATTTCAGTTTGTGCTGTGTTTTGAAGTGCTATAACCGACAGTTTGTGTCAGCGCTACCATATATTTACCAGTAAGAGTTTGGTCCTGTTACATTCTGTGAAATTCTCCATTCACCTACAGTACTTCCCAGCGTCTTCCCCAACAAATACTCCACACAAGCATACCAGTCAACACCGTATGAGAACAGATTCACGAAAGAACAGATAACTCTATGGAGGCCAAAAAGTTGATTCCCAGTCGTCCACAATACGGCACCATCACCCTTCGCGATCACAACAATCTCAACATTCACAAAAAGTTGACTAACCACATTTGTACAAACCCACTACAGATAATGGTCAGGTGAATAAGCTCCTTTCCCTGCATCCAGTCCATGTTCAGGGAAATGGGATACAAAGTCACAAGAGATGCTTATGTGCCCAACAACCCACTATGCTTCTTGGCCTTCCCATCCCAACACAAACCCAGCAATCCCAGCCTGCTCCATGCATCCACTCTGTAACACTCTTCTCTGTCCCAAATTACGCATCTCACCCCACGCCACCCACCCTCACCTCGTCACTTAATATCTGACTCCGACGCACCTCCTTCCCAATGCTCCCAGCTCCCTCAGCTTCCTCACTGCGCCCAGCTCCCCCTCCTTCCCCTCACTGCTCCCAGCTCCCCTTTCTTCCCCGATGCTCTCAGATCCTCCCATTTATCCCCCATTGCTCTCAGCTATCCCTACCTTCCAGTGCTACTCGCCCTTCTTTCCCGCGCATCTCCACTGCAGCCGACTCTTTTTTCCGTCCACCCCTTCCAGCACCCCCAGCAGCTGCGTCTTGTGACCAACTCCGCCATGCTGCTGTGCTCACGACCAGAAAGATGTCGGAAGGACAGGGGGGCAACGGGAATGGGGGAAGACATGAAGGGGGATGCACAGGAGGGAAAAAGGAGGGGGGACGAAGGAGTTAGAAAGGAGGGATGAAGCGAGGTGGAGGAGCAAAGCAGGGGGGCAGTGGAAAAGGGAAGATTGGAAGGGGATGTTTGCCTGTAAACTCGTTGAGCGTGCTTTGGGGTGGCAGTGAACTTCAGCGAGGCAGCTGCTGCAGCCATTGTACCACCATTGTACCAAGCTCCGTCTCTCCACCAGTGAGCTTCAAAGCCATGATAACACAACGATACAATAAGCGGAACATCATGCCAAGGTTCGAACGCGGGGTACTGATCGCCCAAGGGCATACCTCGCGATATGCACCGCAATGCTCTCATCGACTGTGAGCGACCATACAGACATAGTTGTTCAGAATGTAAAGACGGCTCATGTCACGCCTTATCGGAATGAACACCAGATTCTCACGTCGTCAGGTTGCATGGTCTCCAAAGGGGTCACATGTAAGCTCTGCACCTTCGGGATATTCGGCATTAGTGATTCTGGATATGACGGATTCTTGGCCCTGTTTAACAGGCACCACGATGGTCATGGGCACGGAAAGGAAATGGAAGTGAAAAGGCATCTTTTGAATTTTTGAAAGCCTGATGTGATGTCACCCACACAGAAACGAGCAGCCTCGTTAGGTCTGGCAGGAAGATTTTGACTCGGAAAATAAGAACCTTCAGGCACAGCTCCTCCAGAGAAAGAGGGTGTACATTCAAAGCAAGTAGCACAAGCTTAGGCTACATAGAATTGGGCAGGACATGTAGCCCATAAAAACAAACAAACGACAAATTTGATCGAGTCTGTCGGTTGGGATCAAATTATGTTATGGTTTTCTTGTTGGTGCATATACTATCTGTAAACCGTATCGTTTGTTTCCCGTGCGCCAGTACGTAAACCCTTTCACAGTACTTTCATTCCCTGCCCAAAGCGATGCCCCAAGGGCAGGCAAGCGGCAGGAGCACACAGGGCCGCAGCACATTGTCAGAACTTAGGCTTAGAAGCGATGCATTAGTAATGAGCTTAAAGCTCTTTAAGTACATCCAAGAAGGGTAGGGATTGGATGGCAAGTTCCGAATGGAGCGTAAGATTGAAGAGCAAGAACGGAGCGGAAGCAGAACTCAAGGGCGATGATAAGGGTGGTGGTACGAACCCTAGTGTTGTTGCTATAATGCCCCGCTAGACCCCCGAGCCAACACGGGGGTTGTTCAGAGGCGCAGCGGTGACCTGTTGAACCCTTGTGTAGGGTCGCAGGCGCTACATCCCCGGTGGCTCCTATCCTTCCTATGACACACGGCACACTCACCCGACCGCGGCGATGAACAGACTCGATGTGAACCCCGACTAGACTCCTACCACGATTGGCAATGATGGCCGGGTCCGACTCGGAATGAACGTCAACTTTCACGAGAGTCCGTCCGCACCCATGCGGAGCAGTGGGCTGCACACCTTCGCCTCGAGAGTTAATTCATCCGACTCGGTGTAAGCTGGGGTGAACGGCCCGTGTCCTGATTGACACATCGGAGCTGACGCGATCCTACTGCCAGTACTCGGTCACGCGCGGTTATGACCAACGGGATGCAATGGCTGTCATGATTGCGGCCCTTCGCAGCGTGCTGAGTCATGGATCCAGATAAGGACAAAAAAATCAAGATGCAGAGTGAGTGAGAGCCGACGCGGTGAAACGCGGAGCTGAGGAGCATTGATGCCATGGTAGAATTCAAGAGTGACTTTAAATCGGACGGTGAGCGACTCGAGCGGAAGGTTTTGTGAGCGGATCGAGCAGCCAGCCCTCCTCGCCTACCCTACCACAACTAATTTCTCCACTAAACTGTGAAGGGAGGCTAAAATCGGGGATGTGAAGCGAGAAATAGGAATCGTTACACTCGAAAATATACAGAATACAGAATCCTACGAACTGTCAGTTGAGCTCCACAATTCTGTGTGACGAACAGAGCAGCATGGCTTCTATTAAGCTCGGTGAAATCTCAGGATCGTGGTCAGAAAGACCCTTAAGACTCTGGATAAGTATATCTTGGGATGGAGACATCCCACTATCAAGCATGGCAGTACCTGGGAAATTAAACGATTCATGCGTTTCCTTGATGTGGTCAACCATGGCCCCATTCCAGTTATTTCCTAACTTCAACTCGGTTGTTCCTCCAAGCGCGTGAAAATTATCCAAGGCGTGGACATCCGAGTTGAGCCCATGGCCAACTGTGGCATGCAAGGCAGCCCCACCACCTTCCAGAGCATTGGCTATGTCAGGCCGACGTAACGCCGGGTTCTTGAGAGCTGGTAAAGCACCGGCGGCCAAGGGCTCCTGCACCAAGGCATGGCGGGGCTGCATGGGAGCTTGCGTGTGCAAGCCCCTTGGGTTCGAGGGCGCGGACAGTGCACCGGTGAAGCCGGGGGCCCCTGGTTGGTGAGAAAGGGCTGACCGTAGGGGCGCCTGGAACAGTGGCTGTGACTGAGGCTGTGACTGTGGCTGTGACAGTGGCTGTGACAGTGGCTGTGGCTGGGACAGAGGCTGTGGCTGTGGCAGGGGCTGTGGCAGCGGCTGTAGGTGCCCATGACCCCGGTGCGCTTGAGCACCTCCCTCCCTGCTGTTTCGCTGCTCCAACGCCCACTCTGCCAGCGCTACCCCACCACCAGCTGTGCCTGGCAGCACCCGTCCCTGGGGCCCACCCGCCCAGGGCACACGGCAGGGCTGCCAGTGTGGTAACTGGGGGACAGTAGGGGCGTGTCCAGGCAGCAATAGGGGATCCAGGGGCGTGTCGAAAAAAAGAGCAACATTATCATGCGCCACGCTGCACGTGTCCAGCTCTGGTTGGGTGCAACTACTCACAACGAGCGTCCCTCCAGTGCTGCTGCCCATCCGCCCAGGGACGGAACCAGCCAGCGCAGCGGTGGGCAGCGGCACTGGCATTGGTGCATGCGGTGCGGTGAAGCCAGCATCGAGGCTGCTGACCCCCAGCAGCACATCATCTGGAAGGGCGCTCTCCCACTCCATACGTGGCCACAGGGCTGATTGCACTCGCCTCCTCCCTTCTCCTTCGTGCATCTGCTGATGCTCCTCCAGCAGTAGAGCATCCACAAGGGCTCCCTCCTCGTCCTGCACGCGGCTGCTCGCCCCCTGCTGCTGGAACTGCTCTGCCACCGACTGAGCCTGCCAATTCCTGCTGCGCACCACCCCGCTCTCACCTCCACCTCCACCCAGCCCCGCTTGGTTTGCCCCAAGCCCAGGGCAATCCTCTCTTGCTCGCTTCACTGGGAGGCTCAGAACAATGGCATTGGAGGCAGCAGCAACGGGGAAGGAGGCATCACATGGGAACGGAAAATCAGAGGCAGTGGAAGAAGCGGAGAAGGTGGCGGCTTGGGAAGCAGGGGCGGGGCTGACTGCAGATGAGGGGTCCGCTGGAGCTGCTGGGTGGCAGCAGGAGGCATTGGGTGAGAGGAAGACGATGCTGCACTCGTCAAACGACAGCCCACCGAATGCTAGAGCAGTTGAACCAATGTCATCCGAATGCTGCTGCTGCTGCTGCTGCTGCTGCTTGCCATCCAGACAGGGCAACAGTTGATCGAGGCCCTTTACGGGAACGTTTCCGGGGAATTCAGCATCTTCCAGGTGCTTTCTCAGAAGATTCTGCTGAAAGTGCTGAGTGAACTTCCTGCCGTCAAGACACGGCCACAGGGGAGAAGCTCAGAAAAAGGCGCAGGCGTGTTTGAAAGGCTCAGGCAAGGGGTGCGCGTTGACGGGCTCAGTGGGTTTCGAAAATGACTGTGACAAGCAAGGTTACCTTCTAAGGAAGATGTAACGGTTACAGCACGACTTGTTGCTCCTCTTGAGCTGACCCCTCCTCTTCAGCTCTCTCCACCGCTTCGTCCCAAAATGCAGCGCATGGTGCAGCAGAACCGCGTCCTCCTGCACGGATCAACACGGATCTCGTGGCCAATGATTGACCTATCTTTCGGCACGTCTCAGAAGGAACACGGTGAAGGAGCGTGACTCAAGGCCCACTGACCCGGCTGAAGGGATTCTGAAGAGTGTCTTGGGCCACAGTGAGCGCCGTGTCTTGACGCACAAATGTATTCACACCAACATGGCTAGCAAGGCTTTCAAGAATCAATATTTTGATTCACTCTCCTTTTTCAGGCTGGAAATCGGGTGGATCTTAAGAGCGTCTCCAGTGCAGAACTCACGCCTACCTCTCTGGATTCACACCCACCTCTCTGGATCCACCTCTCAGCACTCACCTCTGGGGACCAGGGCTGTATGGCGAGCGACGAGGATTGGGATGAAGGCGAAGTAGTCGCTTCAGAGGAATGCGACATGGCAGCGAGGCTGGGGTTTAAAAATCAGTACTTCTAGGCAGCTGATGTTGCTACCCTAACAGATCATGGTAGTTCTAGTGGAAGCTGATGTCCGTCATGAATGATCACAGTTCTAGCCACCCTACACTTCTGCAGATTTTGACGTGACAGAGGGGAACACAGGTGCATGCACCGCTCAAGAACTTGGCTCGTCCTCCGGCGGACAGGGTTTCACCTCAGCGGCATCAGGGGAAGTGCCATGGAATGCCGCGCTTTTAGCCGCGCAGTGGGAGACCCGCCCTGCTGGAGGCCCCGCCAGGCCAAGCCCCACCCGCGCAGGTGCACGGGAGGCTAGAAGTCCAGTGGCAGGCATTCGGAGCTGTACAAACGACGCATGAGACTGTGGGACTACTCCAATCTGGGCTGACGTGTGGAGAGGGCACGGAACGAACGCTATCATTGCTTTATTGCTACTAATATCCCGTGCCAGGAATGCTCCACTGAGGAATCTTGTAAATCGAATGTATTCGGATCTCACGAATTTGGCGCGTCATGCGAGTACACACGTATCAGGAGGCACGTGAAGCCGGACCTTTTCCAGCCATGGAAACTGCTTGCGTTTCAAGATGCCTATTCGCGCTGTGTAAGCGGCTCCATCCTCTGAAGCTTCCACATCCAAACAAGGAATGCACATCTGCGAAGCTGTGCGTGCGGCCAACGCGTCCGTACATCTGCTGAGGAGTGCCAGGCGCAGAGCAATGCACTCTATTCAGTGGGTTGTATACCCTCCCCAGGGTGTACAGACGGAAATGCCCTGGAGCACGCAGGTGGTGGTGAGCAAGGGAGCCTAGTCGTTGAAAATACCATTCTGTGAAACACGCGTGGGTGTACACACGTGTGTGCATTATTTCCAGTTTGGACTATGTCAAGCTTCTGAACATTGGTCAATGGTCAGTACAGTTTCCCCACAAATGCAACTGCGGTAATTTATACAAGCATACCAGACACATCACACAGCAGTTGTGTAGACCACATACATTTCTTCTCACTCACATCGTTATTGCCAAGACACCTTTCAAACAAGTCCATTCACATCCCGAATTTCACAAAAGTCGCAGTGATAATCACATGCCTTAGTTCGCTGCGAAGCCTGACTGTGCACCACTGCTCCCTTCTGTGCATGTTCGCACTGGTAGTGCTTGCTCCTACTCATGTTTGTCCAACCCTGACTAGCATGTGCTCCAGTGGTCGCGAGTGTGCTTGTACCGTAAGTCCACCATCCTGCTGCCAAGCATGCCTGCCTTACCCTTCTCTTGTTTCCCCTACCAAGCGTGGCAGTTACAGCGCAATCAAAACCAGCAGGAAGTCGGGCGTCACTGGCTGTGATCTTCCCCGTGCTACAGTCTGCTAATCCTTGCTCCTTCCGGTCAGAGGTTGCCGCTCCGAGATCTGGCAGCACTTCTAGTGACAAGCCGCTGGGCACACCAAGTCCAGGAGGAAGAAGCACAGGCGGACGCAATGTGCTCTGCACTCCTTGGTCACGTGGATGGACCAGGAATGAGGTTTGGAGGGGTGGAGAGAGATGGAGGGCGAGGGGGAGGGAGGAGAAAATAACAGAGCCGTTTGTACTTGGAACCGTCGCAGCGCATATGAGAAGCACCCCTCCATCCGTTTCCCCTCCTTGCATCTCCCTTCAGGGACGCCTCCTTCAACCCATCACCCACCGGCAGTCCCTTTTCCATCCCCCCCTCGCCCTTGCCATGCTGACCTGTCTGTCAGCAGCGGCTGGCCTCACAGCGCCCAGCAATGAGGGCAAAGATCCCCCCTGCAACCAGATTTGGGGAAATGGGTAACAGAGTCAGAACACCGTGTACCTCCATGTGGCCCTCAACCCAGTCACAACACCTCCCATACTAACCCCGATCAACGCGTCCCATCCCATACCATCCCAACCCACCGTGTTCCAACCCCCTTCCACCCCATCCTCCCACTCCTTTTTATCCCATTATTCCATCCCACCGCACACCACCCACACTCATCTCGTCAACTGCATCTGGTACCAATGTGTCTCCTTCCCGCTGCTCTCAGCTCACCTCCCCCACTCTCCCTGGCATGCTGCCAGGCTCTGACCTGAGGGGATGGCGGAGGGGCTGAACAACGACAAACGGTAAGACAGGAAAAGGGGAGACAGGAATGGGGAGAAAGGGAGAGGGAGGCAGGGAGAGGGAGACAGAGAGGAGGAGACAAGGAGGGGGAGACAAGGAGGGGGAGACAGGGAGGGGGAGATAGGGAGGGAGATACAAATAGGTTGAAGGACAATGAGGATGGTTGACATGAACGGGGTTTGGCAGAGGAGGGAAAGCAAGGAAAGGACGGAGAAGGAGAGAGATGGGCGAGGTGAAGGAGAGAGATGGGCGAGGTGAAGGAGAGAGATGGGCGAGGTGAAGGAGAGAGATGGGCGAGGTGAAGGAGAGAGATGGGCGAGGTGAAGGAGGAGGCGCCAAAGTGCTGTTAGATCAGAAGTGCCATTGTGCCATTCAATGTGCAAAGCTCAAAACGACCCTGCTGCGGCCAGTGTCGTCATGTCGTCTCCTGATTCGACACATGCGACCCGGCGGATCTGAGGCTGACGCTGCTTCGGGCAGTGACCGTCACGCAAGGGTGAGATCACGCGGGTGTGAGGTCACGTGGGTGTGAGGTCACGTGGGTGTGAGGTCACGGGTGTTTCGGGTCAATATATGGATAAGGATGTAGTGACGCAGAACGTGCGAGAGCCAACCGCGCGAAACGCGGAGCTGCGATCAGCGACGCTATGGCTAAGCAGTGGCGTTGGATCAGTGCGTCAAGTCGGCTACAGTGCCGTCTATTTCACGAGTCGACGGCAACGTGAGAAGAATCGAACTGTCAGGTCCTGACGGACGGCGCGCGACTTGCGATCGTGTTTCTAGGTTGTCCAAAAGGTGGAGGAAGGAGGTGTTATTGTTATATCTTGTTCTCGATTATTTCACACCCCTTTATCTCACACCCTCGGGTACTTACCCTACCCCTATCGGTTTCGTAGGGTAGTTACCAACGTCTAGGAAAACCACGGAGGAGGGTCCGACGTGCTGCGATCAGAAGTTGATAGTGGCCTAGGATCTACTCAGGAAGGTTCGCACGCAGAGAAGTGATGTTGGTGGGCCCTTGACCTCAATAGCAGAGTGAATGTAAAATGCTTTGAGATGATTAACACGTGCAGTACAAGGTTTATAAATATGAGTACAGGGGAATTCGAAACGACCTAACTAGCCATGTACTCTAAGGGGTACATTCCCTTATTGCAGCGAAATCCAACCGTGCGACTCCGAGTGGTTACGTTGTGAAAATTGAAACGAGAATGATTCAACTATGAAAGAGTTGGGTACAAGTACTAACCCTAATTGGGTTGTACCCCATATGGGCTACCCCACTACAGCCTACACAAATGTATAAGCTATATGTTCTGACACACCCCCATAGGCAAAGTGGGGAGAACAAGGGGTCACAAGACCAGTCAAGCAAAGCAAAGCAAAGCAAGCCCAGGGTGGATCACGAAAGAACCACACATTCCGAGCACAAGTTCAAGGCCATAAGGCCAGTTCACATGCAGGATTACATATATATATAAGGCTAGACAAGCAAGAGCAGGAATATATATATGTAACAGTACAAGCAAGGTCAAGGGGTGAGCAAGTGAGGCAAGACAGGGACAAGACCCAGCTGAGTGCAGAAGCGCTGATGATCACAAGGCGGAAGTGCCTTGGTGAAAACATCAAGAGTGTTGGCCTCAGAGGCCACGTACGCAAGCCGCAACTGACCACGCTGCTGTAGCTCACGAGCAAGGAAGTAGCGAAGAGCAATGTGCTTTGTTCTGTGCTCCAGTCTCTGCTCTCGACACAAGGCCAGCATGGCCTTGTTGTCTACGTACAGGACTGGAGGAGAACGAGGCGGCTCTCCAAGGTCGGTCAGCATGTAGGTGAGCCAGCGAAGCTCTTGTGCAGCCATGGCCCCAGCGTAGATCTCAGCCTCACAACTGGAGCTGAGAACTGAAGACGAGCAAGTAGCCCGCCACGAAACAGAGCCGGAACCAAGGCTGAAGGTGTAACCCTAGGACGACCACTGCGTAGCCTGGTCGTCAGCCCAAGAAGCGTCTGCGTGCCCAGTGAGGACCACTGGACTCCGCCCTCCAAGCACTAGCCCCATGCCCGACGTACTGCACAAGTAGCGCAACACCCTCTTCGCTTCAGCCATGTGCTCTGGTCGGTGTCTCCCAGGAGCAACATAGCGTGCAAGAATGCTAAGAGGGTATGCAAGGTCAGGTCGTGTGCAGGTCATCAGGTACATGAGGCAGCCAACAAGCTCTGGATACGGGCCACTCGACTCTACGGACTCATCTGAAGGCAGAGCTGAGAGCGAGTGGCGAGTAGGCAGAGGAGTGGCTTGAGGCGAGGAGTACGTGAAGCCGAAGCGCGGAAGGACCTGCTGCACCATGTGTGACTGAGTCAGGGTAATGGTGCACTATGCTCTGTCCCGAGTGATCTGCAAGCCAAGGTAGCTGCGCAGTTCACCCACGTCTGTGCACGTGTGTCTCTTCTGCAGCTCAGACTTCACGTAGGCGAGTCCAGCAGTGTCAGCTGTGGCAAAGACCAAGTCGTCGACGTACACGAGGATGTAGAACGGCGGCAGAGAGGTGTCGGTGCGCAGAAACAACGATGGGTCGGCAATAGAAGGAGCAAACCTAAGAGCTGCAAGCGTAGTCCTCAGTGTGTCGTGCCACTCACGTGGCGTCTGGCGTAGACCGTAGACTGGACGCCGGAGACTCCACTGGGTACCAGGAGGGAAAGACCCAGTGAAGCCAGGTGGGCGGCGCAGCCAGATCTCCTCGTGCAGGCTGCCCTGCAAGAAGGCAGTGCTGAAGTCAAGAGAGTGCAGCTCGTAGTCACGGTGAGCAGCAACGTGCAGCAGTACCCGAAGAGTGGCCATCTTTGGGGTGGGGGAGAAGGTCTGAAAGTAGTCAACTCCCTGCCGCTGACTGAAGCCACGAGCCACGTAACGCGCCTTGAAGACAGGCGGAGAACCCGGCGGCCGCTTCACCCTGAAAATCCACATGCCACTGACAATGTTCGCCCCAGGAGGGGGGACAGCGTCAACGTAGGTGCCTGTGGACTTCCAGGAAGCCATCTCTGCATCCATAGCTGCCTGCCACTGAGAGGAGTAGGGACCCTCTATCGCCTCCGCGTAAGAGTGCGGAGTCGGGATGTCAAGTGCATCCGGGTCTCCCTCAAGGGTAAGCAATACGGACACGAGATGAGGTGAAGCAGCTGCGAGACACTGGAACTCCTCCTGCCTGTCCTCAAGGACGTCCGTGCCAAGGGCACACTCACCCCCGACGGACGGAGGACAGACAGACTCAGACTTAGCGACAAGACTAGCAGCGTGGTC